TTCCAAACTAATAAACTACTAATATATTAAACAAACTAACTTGGGATCACCGCAAAGTATAGTGGGCAGCCCAAATTCACGATTCAAATGCTCATGCTTCACAACAAGAAACAACGAAACATGAGCGGCTCGTGCAGTCGCAGTTTTGTAAAGCGCGCGATGCTATTATGTGATCAGATCTCTCCTCGCATGAAGGGCATTGCAGTGACTTTTGCTTTGACAGTAAAGGCGACCTCACGATTGGAAACGACGCTTGTCAATTAATTGGTGCATTCAGTGCTAGTTACTGGGGTCACAAACATTACTAGTACATTTCTGAGATTTTTTAAAAAATGGACAAATGAATTGAATAGTGAGTCCACCAAGTGCGCTATCACCACTTCAATCAGCAAAGACTTCGGGAATGCGCAATAAGTATCTGTGGTCACCTTTGTCGGCATACGAATTTTTCTGAGAGCATGTGAGTAGCACGGTGTCTGCCTAATCGATTGAAGAAGAATTCAAAAGTACGGAAAATCTCGCGAGCCTCTCGTTCATAGCCAATTATGACTCGGGCTGGTGTAAGTACCACGCGAACGGCAAATCTATGAGAACACCGCTTATTTTCGAGATCGAGAAAGACTCCTAGAGATATAGGAAGACTCCTAGAGAGATGGAGAAAAAGCAACAGTTTACTTGGGGCAACAAGAATTGATATTCATCGGAAATTGCGAGAACACTCAAAGGAGAACATTCGCAAGAAACATATCATCCCGATTGAAGAGTGGCACCCTTCGCAGCACCTAGTTTCTATAAAACGCGCTCCGATGATATTCGGAGCACAGGATTTTTGCTCACTTCGAACCTCCTTTCAGCGAAACGGACACCAATTACACGTGTGGTAGAACCATTCCCTGAGCGTCCGAAACAGGTCATCAGGAATAATGGAGCATATTGAAAAGAGGCAATGGTGAGTTGTTGAGCGCTATGTAGGGGAGCTATAGTTCAACTCCTACTATAATATATATCCTACTTCATATAATTCGCTAACTCGTAGTGGTCTGTTGGTATGTCAGTGTGTGTATGTGTGTGTCGGTGTGTGAGTTTGACCGGAAATCCATAACTCCTGTTCCCGTCAACATAGAGAGTTCAAATTCGGTACGAGCACGGAGAATACCCATAGCAGGTAGCAGGACCAGACTCCGCCTACGAGGGGCGGGGCATGCGCTAAAGAAACTTTAGACCACGAGTTCATAACTCNTGTTTACGTGGACCTAGAGCGTTGAAACTCGATAAGAGTACAGGAGGCAGGATGGGAATTCTTATGATAACTGGTAGGATCGGACTCCGCCTACAGAAGGCGAGGCGTGCGCAATAGAAGATTCAGACCGCGAATTCACAACTACTGTTTACGTGTACCTAGAACGTTGAAATTCGGTAGGACTACAAACGATAGGATGGGAACATTTATAACAGATGGCAGGGCCACACCCCACCCACAGGGGGCGGAGTTTGCGCAGAGTAAGCGTTCGAGCAAAAACTCATTAAATTCTGTTTCCGTGGAGCTAGAGAGTTCGAATCTGGTAGGATGACAGCCTTTCGTACAGCGGATCCTCGGCTTTAGGATAAGTGATGAAGGATATGACGGAGTCGTAGCTAGTCGGTGACAGGAACCGATAATAACAGCGAAGATAAGTAGTCTAAGAGAGCCAGAGCCTACCGATCAACATCCTAACGCGTTTGACATTCACGATGTAGCTTCGACTGTTAAGTATGTTTCATTCGATAAGACGGGAGCAAAATGACAAAAGTGAATGGTATGTGCAGTGATAGGGACCCATTCACTACCTGAGAATTTTGGTAATTTTTTGCTAATAGATTACGACCGCTACCCACCATGGTTTGCGACCCAATGAATGATCCTCATTGTTGGATATCATTTGCGACAAAACCTAACCGAACGACAGTTATCTGGAACTTTTAATTAATGATATCTCTGTAAAGAAAAATGTTCATTGATAACAAGTGATCACGGTTTCATCGTGACACGAAACGTTTGTGAGTACCTTCCCTCCCAACCCTTCCCCCCCCCCACGACCTTAGTTACCAAACAGTTGAAACTCAATTGGGTATTAATTTTTATGAAAGAGAACAAGAGATCGCGACTTCCAATCGAAGGCGTAAGCACCGCTTTACACGGAATACCATTTGCACTGCTCTGTTGGTCCTGTGTCATACTTCGTGCACAGAAAAATATTAACAGGGCAGTGCAAATGGTATCCAGTGAAGGTCGGCGCTTACGCCTTTGATTGGAAATGTCGATCTCCTGCTCTCTTTCTTTCTTAAAAATAAATACTCACCAAAAATCCAATTGTTAAACAACCAAAGCCTTCGGCGGTACTTACGAATGCTTTGAGCGGTGAAAACATCACTACCAGATGTCGCCATAAATGAACCCTCCTCTTTACGGAGATATCATCAATTGAGGATTCAAAATTACTGGCAGTCGGTTGAGTTTTGTTGCAAATGATACCGAACAAAGAGGATCCATTCATTAAGTCACAAACCTTGCTGGATAACGGTCGTAATCTAATAGCGAGAAATGAACAAAATTCTCATCTGCTTAGCGCAGTGCCGCTAATGGATCCCTACCACTGCACTTACCACTCACTTTTGTCACCCTACTCTACCATCCCGCCTTATCGAATGAAACATACTGCACAGTCAAAGCGCAAAGCGCAGTCTATTGCGCACGCCTCGCCTTCTGTAGGCGGAGCCCGATCCTACCAGTTATCATAAGAATTCCCATCCTGCCTCCTGTACTCTTATCGAGTTTCAACGCTCTAGGTCCACGTAAACAGGAGTTATGAACTCGTGGTCTAAAGTTTCTTTAGCGCATGCCCCGCCCCTCGTAGGCGGAGTCTGGTCCTGCTACCTGCTATGGGTATTCTCCGTGCTCNGTGCTTGTACCGAATTTGAACTCTCCATGTCCACGGGAACAGGAGTTATGAATTTCCGGTCGAACACACACACCGACACACACACACAAACACACAATTAACGAATTATATAAAGTAGGATATATATATATGTATATATAAAATACATATAATATACAGGGTGTCCCAAAATTGTGCGGACCGACTCATGGCAATGCATTTAAAGCTTCTAATCTGGGAATAACGGTAATTCGATATGCATGTTTCCTATCAATATATGCTACAACATGCTTGTCCTCAAGCGCCACCTCTGCCGGACAAGCTTGGCTCTGTGAGCTGGAGTAACTTCCTGCTGAAAGGACTACGAGCTCTTTCAGGAAGCGGAGTAGGATCAGCGCTGCATTATGTCCATCAGTATGCCATTTGTATACAAGTCTTTGTCAGTATTCACGACGGCACCAATGAAACCACAAGCGTCTTACCCTTCCAGTGACTTCATCAAAAAACATCATTTTGCTGTTCTTATAGCAACTTCTTTTGCGAGAAATGTTTACAGCCAGGAGGTGACCGTCTAGATCGTTGAGGAACGTTTTCTTCGCAAAAATTCCCAGCTATAGAAAGCGATGAAGGGCTGCGTGCCTTCACATTTTCTGGCCCTACGCTGCCTGTTGAGATCGAAAATAAAGTGAATTTTCTGCGTAGGATTGGGATTGCAATAAAGCTCCGGTTCGACTATTCGCTCCACAGGCAACCTCGATAAGTCCTGGTCTTTTACAGTCTTTCTGATGGGTCACCCAGAATCACGATCGTTTCGCAACGGGACCATTTTAGTGGCCCTATGTTCAGAAACACTGACCTCTCTACCCGTTCTTGGTTTTTATATAATTGAGCCTTCTTTGTATCGTTTAACAGTCTTCTGTACGGATACTATGGAAGACACAGGGAATTTCGCAATATTATTCCGCCCCTCGCATGTCAATGATTGCAACTGGCATTNAATGAGATTCGGCCATCTGAAAGATGTTTAGAGTTTACTTCAGTAACCATGTATATTGCATGCATATTGCAGAAAAATCTACCTGTGCAACTGATTAATAGCGGGTGAAATGAGTTTAATGAGTTACTTCTACTTTAGAAGTTCTTGAATTTTGGCGTCTTCATAAGTGGTAAGGGATATGAAAAAACCGTAAATGATTGGTGACAGGAATTGATAACAACTGATAGGGACCGATAATGAGCCACGAGCCACGAAATCGCCATTCGTGCTAACCATGGAGCCTTGACACTTGAATAAGTAGTTGGAATGCGCAGGGACCGTAGATGACCGGTCACAAGGGTTGAACAACTGAAAGAAACTGATAAGAGCCGACGAAGGCGAGAGCTACTAGGTTTGTAACGCGTCTCGTGTCGATAGTGGAACTCTTTCTGACTATAGTGAATAAGGCTTATAGGGGAATAGAGTCGGTGGGTTATTGGCAGGCAGACCTGTGTACCAGTGATGTCTAGAGCGTGATCTTTGCAATCTAACAGTAATATATGGAAATGATTCCTTTTTGGCACTAACTTTGGTCGGTCTTATCACTGCACTTTAGTCGCTTTTCGCCAATTTACTTTACTACTTTTGTCGAAACACAATAGAATGTCGAGTTTACATAATGTTCACCAAAAGAGATAGAAAAACATGTGGAATCTAGGTCTTTATAAGATGCCATCATTTTCTGTAAATTGTTTTTATTGGTCCCACTTTAGGTCACACACCAAAAAACAATGCTATGCGGGAGGAAGAAGTAATCTAGCGGCTTCTGCAAACCTGCCCATATTGTCGACAGTTATTAATTGTTATCACTCTCTTCCTACAATCACTCGCGGTCCCGTTGTATCCCACATCACCCTAACTCAGGCTTGCGCTACCAACTTGACTTAGTGGCTCTTGCCCGCAGCCCCTTATCATATTATTAAAATGTTCACGTTATTCATGGAATTCTTTTGGGTGTTAATGACCTCAGCATAAGGTCAACCGTGAAAATAAGCGAAATTTTCCTCCACATTCATCGCTTCAGAAAAAGAGTTATATCTTAACAGTCACCTTGATTGTTCTCTGGCCTCAGACATGGCTTCGTCCAGGTGAGACGAGGCATTTACCCTGACTGTTAGCATTCCGCTACGAATCAGCTGATTGCACTCATGCATCGCCTTGGCTCGTATTATTACAACGCGTAGAGCTGAAATAAGTGAGATCACAGCTAGATAACGAATAGTTGTCTCTTTTCAACTCTACCTCAACATACCATCTTCAAACGATAGCATGCCGCCAGCGACAAGAGCGGCAAACTCGCCGACACTGAATCCAGCGACGTCGGTGATACGTTCAGCATACGACTCATCAATAGCCTTAAACTTCTCCAGAGCTGCCAGTGATGAAACAAATACCGCTGGCTGACAGTATAAGGTCTGATCCAACCTATATTTGTATTATATTCATATCTGAAAATGTAGCAGCAAACCTTCACACTACTTCTTGCTAACCCACTTCGTTTTTGGACCTTCCATGCATAACTTCAAAATATCATATCCAAGAATTTCCGAAGAGCGATGGAATAATTCCACTGCTTTTGGACAGATGAGTAGCTGAACGTTGAACTGCATAACAGAATAGAACTATGCCGTGCCTACAAATCTGTGCCTACAGTTCTTTGAGAGTTTGAACAGAACACGAAGCCCATTCGCCTTCGTAACCTTGATAACAGCTTCAAGCAATATAAATATGCAATATATATATATACATATATATAATTTGCGGCCCAAAGTTTCTAACGCGCACGCCGCGCTCCCTGTGAACGGAGTCCGGTCCTGCCACTTACCAGAGGTGTTCCCATCCTGCCCCGTGTACTCCTACCAAATTTGAGCCTTCCAGGTCCACGGAGACAGGAGTTATGAATTTCCGGTCAAACACACACACCGACACACACACAAACTTACACACAAACGCACACACAAACACACACACAAACACACCGACACACCAACAGACACACTTAGCGAATTATATAAAGTAGGATATACAGTAGCGCTCAAAAGTCTTCGGTGAAATGGTTCTTCAGGCGTACTTTTCGGTCGTAACTCCTTTCCTACTAGATCTAATCATGCGAAATTTCAATATGTGTAGCATGGATG